GTAATAAGAATAAGAATAATAATAATAATCACTAATAAATCAAAACAACCCTGAAGTTTCACCTCACACTCTCCAAATTGGCAAAGATGACCAAAAAAAAAAATCAGTTGTCAATGTTGGAAGGGTTGTAGGAAGATAAACATATGTGCATTTTTGGTAAAGTGTCATGGCACACCATTTTGCAAATCAGTTTGGAATTATGCAAATAAATTAACTAAAATGTTCATACCCTTTGAGCCAGAGATTCCACTACTGGGGGTTATACCTCAAGGAAGGCAAGAAAAAAGTCTCCATATACATCAAAACATTTACATTAATAATTTTTTGATAGCAGAGAATTGGAAACATAGTAAACATCAACCAATTGGGAAATGGCCAAACAAATTATGGTAAGTGAATGTAATATAATATTTCTTTGCTGTACAAATTATGAATGTAATGAACACAGAGAAGAATGGAAAGATGAACATAAACTGATGCAGAATAAGGAAAGCAGATGCAAAAAATATATACATAATGACTATAACAATGTAAACAGAACAACCACACACCAAAATATCAAAAGTGAATATTGCAAAATTATAAAGAATAAGTGTAACGGGAAAGAAAAGCTATTACTTTCCCAACCCACTCCTTCACAGACATGGGAAGTACACAAATGTTGCACACTGCACATATTTTAGGACAATTAAAAAGACTTGTAAAAATATGTAAAACAATGCAACTCCTCTCACTATTTTTTTATTTAGATAATAGTTATTTTTCACAAAAAAGTGATTTATGTTAACAGGTAATAGTTTTATTGTTTTTTTAAATGGATTAATTAGTTTTAAATTTTAGCAGTTTTAATTTCAAATATGGTCAATATCAGCAGATATAAACCACATAATCAAAAGTTCTGTGGCATCCTCAATAATTTTTGAAAGTATAAAAGGGTCCCAAGATTTAAAAACAAAATAAAAACACTTCTGCTTTACTCAAAAGAAACAGGGTAGGTAAAATAAGGGGAGGAATTGGGATAACATTCTATATTAAGAAGGCATACTCATGATTAGATCCAGGAACCAGAAGGAGGGAAGCATGGTGAAGAGTGATTGGAGGAAGATCAGTGAAGGAACAAACACAAATGATTTTTTTCATTGTATTATCACAAACCATCTGAATAGAAAGAGGAAGGTGATGAAGATTTTGGGAAACTGCTCACAAAAATGGTGCAAAAACGTGATATAATAGTAATGAGGAACCAATGCCTGCTAGAGTTTGTGATAGAGGAGAGGAAACCTGGACATAGTTTGGGAAAACAGATTTCAAAGGGTTCAGATAGTTATCATCCTATGAACTGAAATGCCGTTGGGCAAGTCAGCCAAGTAGGGAAGGAAGATACTGAAGAATGAAATTCTGAAGATACCAAAGGAAACAGTTCTAGCGAGAAGGAAAAGTTGCATTTTTCTGAAGATACCGAAGTGGATGGCACTGGGATCTGATCAAGCAAACTTTCATTTTAAAAAGGAAATGTACAGAAGATTAAAGTCAGGCCAGGTAACAGGATGAGTATAAGAGCATGGCACATCCTTGAAAAAATGTCAGGAGTGTTATAGCTCAGAAGGAACTGAGGATGATGAAGGGAACTATGAACAACCAAAAAACAAGAGGAAAATAGCTATATTGGCAGAAAAGAGAGATCAGTGGAGGAATAAGAAGTACGCTTGGGTGGCTGGAATGATAACTTCAGAACACCACAATTTAATTCTCAGTTTGGTTCTGTATTCTTGGTCAAGGATTGCAGTGAAAATGACAGAACAGTGTTAAACTAAGTAAGGAGACAGTAAGTTAGCTACCTTTGATGAATTCAAGTCACTTGACCCCAGTGAACGAAATCCTAGGGCACCGGAAAGAGATTGTGGAGAACAGAAGAGGTATCACAAGACTGGAAAAGGGCAAATGTCTTGATATTGAAAAAAGAAGAGAACAGAGTCTTCCAACTATAAGCCAATAAACTTAATTTTGATTCCTGAGAAAATTCTAGAACGTAGCACTGAAGAGATGGTTGGAGAACATCTAGCAAGGCAAGAAGTGATTATTGCTTCATCATACAACCCCACTGATAGGGCACATCATACAATCCTGTCACTTAGCTTCAGCTAAAGCCTCACTCCATCCAGGCAATCCTTTTATTCTTTCCTAATTGATTCCCTGTATCATTCCTCATAGAAGTTCTCCTTTCACACTGAATCCACTCTATGAATCAGCCAAACTAGCCTTCTCTCTATTCTGTGCACATATTACATTTTCTGTCAAGGTGTATGGTATGTTTACGGAGGACTGTCATCTCTGGTATGAGGGCTGGTTGAGCCCTTTTCAGGGCTGCTTGTCCACCTTTGGTGTCCAACCATCACTCAGCTCTCACATGTAGCTCCAAGAAGCTGTAGTATGTGCAGTGGCCACACCTTGGAAAACCATCTCAACAGAGGGGCTAAACCAGGTTGAGGGTAACTGACAGGCCTCAAACCCGTTGGTGAGTTGGGGGGCAGGGTACTCTACCTCAAGCATGTGAAGACTTCCTCCAGCAGAATGAGCAGATGAGAACAGCCTTGAAGGTCCTGTGGAGTGCTTAGAGCTTGGTCAGAACTTAAAGATAACAAGGGCATCCACTGCGTCCTCAGCCATCATCAGTCACCTTGACTTTTGTCCTGCCGCTGGACTTCAGTGTCTCTGGAAGAGGGAATAAGGCTGATGACTTTGTGCAACTCTGCCTCACTTAAATTCAATTAACGTGGAAGTGAAAACATCACTCTGTGATGTAATTAATCCTTTTGGTTGGGAAAAAATTGACAAATAACATTTCCTGTTTCCATGCCTTTGTACTAGCTGTCTCCCAAGCCTTGAATGCACTCCCTCCTCACCTCCACTTCAAAGGAACCCCCTCATCCTTTGTTGTTGTTTGTCTTTCATTCTCAAAGAGGACCGATGACATCAGAGGGTGATGTCTTGACTTGAAAGTAAATTAAATTTAAGTGAAGCATTGCTGTGCAAAGTCACCAGCCTCACTCTCTCCTCCAGTCATAGGAGTCCAATGGCAAGACATAGGTCAGGATGACTGGTGATGGCTCCAGATGCAGTGAGAGACCTTGGCCTTTTTAAGGTAAGGTCTTTCTCAAATCTCAGTTTGTCTGAAGCAACACCCATTCAGTAGTTAAAGGCTAGGTAAGAATGGAGACAAAAGATAGCCTAGTTTGCCTCCCCAAAAAAATCTCTCTGGGAGGGGAAGACCCTCAGAGTTTCTGGCCAGAACAGAAACAACTTGCTATTTACACTCACTCTGAGCCATCAAAAACCAAACTATGAGCAAGTGAGGCTTGGGCTGGGATCTATTATTGGCTAGTCAGGGAGAGCTGGATTTGGGCTTAAAGACATTGTCAAGTAACTCCTTTTGAATCCCAATGGGCATTATCAAAGCTGGTTTTCCAGAGCTATATTTCAAGAAATCATGAATGAAAACTATGTGAGACAAAAGAGTTAATTCTCCCAGTTTTTTGAAAAACAAAAAACAATGATAGAATAAGTAGGGAAGAAAAAAAAATCTAGCCCCCAAACCCCAAGACACCCAAGTATAAAAAATCAAAATTTATATTCCTTTGGACAGAACACCCACATGTAAAGGTGTAACAGAAGAAGAAGAAGAGAAAAAGGGGGAGGAAAAGAAGGAGGAGATGCAGGTCAAATGCCACCTTCTGCATAAAGCCTTTCCTGACCCTTCTAACTAGTAGTGCCCACCCTTCAAACTACTTTATTCTCTGTGTATTTATTTATGTATTTATTGTCTTTTCCATTCAAATGCAGAGTCCTTCAGAGTAAGGATTGTTTCATTTTTTGTGTATCTCTAGTGCCTAGCACAAGACCTTATACATATTAACAACTAACATATATATACTTACTCTATGAGGTAAGTACTCTTAATATTTCCATGTTATGGATGAGGAAATTGAGGCTGAGCAATGTTGAATGACTTGCTCAGGATCACATAACTAGTAAATGTCTGAATTTGAACTAAGATCTTCTAACTCCAAGACCATCACTATGCATTGTGCCTTCTAGCTGCTTTATCAAAAACAAGTCATGCCATATTAACATCATTTCCTCTTTTGGATAAGTTTAGTAAACTAGGAGATGAAAGGAATGCTATGGATATAATTTTCCTTGACTAAAGCTTTTTAAAGTATGTAATACTATTTTCATGGGGATGATAGAGAGATACAGTAATTTTGAATGAATTCAGAACTGTTTTGGATGGCCAGATTTAGTAGTTGTTCCTTACTCAGTGTAAAATATGGAAGAATGTCTCCTGCTGAGGGACCTCCCAGAATCTGTGCTGGCTACTTTCCCCTTGAGTAGTTTAAGCAGTGACTGTGATAAAGGTTGATATCACATGCTCATCAGATTTGGAGATGACAAAAATCTGGGAAGGATAGCTAACATATTGGGCCAAAGATTCCAGAAAGACTCTGACAAGCTAGAGCGTTGTCAAATATAGAGCATGAATCTAATCAGATTAAATTCATTAGAGATAAATATAAAGTCTTAGTGTTGGGTACAACAAACTAACTTTGCAAGCACAAGGTAGAGAACCCTTGGTTAGGCAGCCATTCTCAAAGGGACCTTGAGGAGAACTGCAATTTGAACATAGTCAGTAGTGTAACATAGCAACTCAGAAAGCTAGTGCAGTTTTGGCTACGTTGAGAAGCATAGCTTTCAGGATTAGGGAGGTATTAGTCTTCTGTACTCTGCCCTCAGACTGTATTCCTGTCTGGGTAGGGAAGAGTAAGAGAATAAACATTTATATAGTGCTTATTATGTGCCAGGCACTGTGCTAAGTGCTGTACAAGTATCTCATTTGATTCTCACAACCACCCTGGAAGGTAGGTGCTTATTATCCCCATTTTGTAGTTGAAGAAACTGAGGCAAACAGAGGTTTAGTGAGTTTCCTGCGGTTACACAGCTAGTAAGTGTCTGAGGCAGGATTTTTTATTCAGGTGTTCCTGATTCCAGGCCCAGCATTCTTTCCATTGTGCCATCAGGTACCAGTGTTTAAGGACACATAAATGGGAGAGGAGGGCAACCAGGATTGTTGGAAGGAAGGATTCTACTGGTTCTGATTAGCCTCAGTGAGCAGAACCAGGAGCAAATGGGTAGAAGTTAAAATGAGGCAAATTTAAAGTTTGGTGTCAGGAGAAAAAAATTGTCCGAAGGTGTCATGGATTCCTTCAAGAGGTGTTGAATTCCTCTTTCTTGAAGGTCTTTAAGCAGGCAGGATGACCACTTGTCAGATGATGTTCTAGTGGGTCTTCCTTTTTTAGGTGATTTGGACTGAAGGGCTCTTCTACTCCGTGATGATTCTGTGTAAGGAAGGAATAGTTGTGAGTTAAGAATATAGGAGGGTTAACATGAGAGGGCTTGGGATGCGGGTAGGAGGAAGCCAGAAGTAACTCTTTAAAGAAACTTCTCTGAGATTGAAGGCAAAAATGAGAGAATAAGTGTAGGCATACTGATTTGTTTGAGATGAAGACTAGAAAAGTTTACATCTGCGTTGACTCTTCATGTATCTGTCTGCTCCCAAATCAGCTCCACATTAGAGCAGGGGGAGGGTGCAGCCTCTCCAGATCTTCTATTTCTTGACCCAGGCTTCTGGGATGTTTCTGATGCAAAATAATGGCAGACTTTTCATTAGACTTCAGAGACTTGGTTTTTGGGTGGTTATGAGAAAAGTTGAGTACAATGATTATCTAAACTTTATACTTCCTATTGGAGCTATTTTGAGGCTAACTCACTTCATCTCTTTCTTCAGCCTCTGTTTTGCTTGTTTACAGACTAATAAAATTAGTATTTGTACTAGGAAGTAAGAAGGAAGGTTGAATGAATTAAATGATCTTGAAGAGACTTTCATCTCCAAATCCAATGAGCTTCTAAATACTATGGACCTAAACCAACCACATCTTTTTAGGGAAATTTTCCAGTCTTGTGATCTCAAGTGTTTTCCCTTTCTAGATTCCATATTAATTAAAACAGCCAAATCTTCTCCAATTAAAATTGATTTTAAATAACCTTTATATTTAGAGGGGGAAAAAAGATTTTGGCAATCCAGTTATAATCATGGTGTCTAATTACAAAATCTCATAGTAAAAAGATCAAACTTTTTTGGTCAAATCCAACTTTGTTTATATTTTTGATGTTAGAAACCTTGAGTAGATCTCAGTTGAATCTAACATATTATTTGTTTAAGAAAGAAGACCACTCCCCATTTGAATATTATCATCGCAGTGAGTATGTCAATACCCCTGATTCCCCAGTTTGACCATGTCTTGGCAGTTATGCAGAGCTGACTGAATGAGTATAGAGGATCCACTCATTTCAGCTAACTTAACAGTGCTAATATTCTCATGATGAGCTTCTGAGTAGGTATTAAATGTAATAATACATATTGGTTTTCCTGACATTGCCTTTATCTACTCTGGCCCCACAGCCAATAGATTTATCAGAATCTTAGCAAGAGCCACAATCTCTTGTTAATAAAATTCATTTAAGTCAAAAATCATATGCATAGCCAAGTAGTCACCAAAAAGGCTGATAATTTCCTGGCTTATGGTTTTAAAGATACTAAGAGATATTGCTTGGAGCCTCCCATTTAAATTTGTGTGGTATGTTGATATATTTAAAGTTTTCCTTAACCACTCAAATGATTCTAAGAAACAATTTTCCTTTGGGTGGGAATTTGGAAATTAAAGAACAGCAAAACAAATGTTCTTTCCATACTGGCTGTGCATTAACCTTAATATGAAGATTCAGCATGGAACAGAATATCTCTTGATATTTTTTCTCTCCCTTTGTGCCATAAATGGCCACAAGTGGTCAGAATGGAAAAGAATAAACGTTATTGAATACAGCAGCATACCTAATTCTAATTATAGTTTCTTAAAGATTTGTTCAACAAGTCTACCTTAATTTGTGTTCCATTTCACAATGTAAAAGTCTTTTTAATATCATTTTGATATTAGAAGTTTTGTTTTATACCTAGATAATAGCTGCATGAATTTTATTTTAAGGGAAATAATAGTTAATGTGTTTTTGTATAATATCTACTAAACTATTTGGACAACTTAGTGACTGAGCTGCTGTGATTATCAAAAGTTCTCTTGAAAAGAGTTTTGAATGTACAAGAGTCTTTTCAATCCTGTTAATGAAAACATCTGAATTATTTTTGTGTCCCTAAGTATGAGGTAGTTAAGGTGGCAGTGATAGGGCAGGGGGAAAGAGATATTTCCCTCTATTGTGTCCATTCATTCAAATGTGTTTGACTAATTATTCTCTTTCTTCGGCTTTTATATTATTTTGCTTCTATATTATCCAAAGCCAATGAATATTGCTTGTTTTATTAAATCTTTTGTTGTGCTGCTGCAACTTGAGTGGGCCAGCTCCTAACAGCAGAGTCTTTGACAAAGCACCAGAGGATTCTGTTAAAAAGTTGTGTTTAGTAATTGTAGTTGTCGTGTCAGACCATAACTGACTTGGAGCTGAAGGATTTTTGTGAGATGAGTAGCTGTGCCAGCAGGGACCCAAGTCTCTTGGGCCAACCCCGCTCTCATTAAGATTTGCCGCTAGCAGTGGTGGTGTTCGGCATGTATGTGACGTGCATTCTGTTATTGTATGCTTGGCTTGTCAGCCTGCAGCTTTCTGACACTCACTTATGTCACTCTTTATTCAGAGAGGAAGAAGCTTTTGATAATTTGACAAGACAAGCTCTTAAACGATCTAGGTCATGGCCTTCACTGTCTGTGATTGTGAACATATTTCCTGAAAGCCCTGTCACTCATCACAGCTACATTTTCTCCCAGGGAGCCATAGGCCTGTCCCGGTCTCTTGTCAGCTCATACATTTTGGTTATTCATATACCAAATACAGTACTGGGGTTTTTTTCCTTCACTTTTGCAAATGCTAGCATGTTAGTAAGGCTAATCCTTTCTCCTGTGTTGTGTTCCCAGCAGGGTTGTGTTCAAGGGTTCTCTCTAGTACAAGGCAGACAACTGGCCAAGGGGAGCTCAAAAGGAGGAAAGGCCGCTTAGTGCTGTTTTTGTGTTTGTTCATTGTTGTGGAAATATGAGAACTGGTGGCAAGGGCCTTGTCTATTGAGCACTTGAGTCTTGGTCTGCTGTCAGGGGCTGTTTGAGATTGAGTGTTTTATTTTCTTTGATGTTCACATTTGAGAATAGGGAAGTGGGAATTAAACAACAGATGCACTAAGCTGGTGTTCTCATAAAACAATAATTAGCACCTGATAAAATGCAATATGGGTCAAAACGTACAATATATACTCTCAGTTCATCTGGTATGGCAAGCTTATTGATTCATATCTGAATTTTATGAATAGGAGTGTATGAGTTATTTTTAAAGCATGTTCTTGGTTAAGAATAGTTAAATCAAAGTTGGTAAATGAGAAATTAGACCATTAAAATAGATTTAGAAGTATTCCTTATGTTAATATTGTTCATTGTAAGTTAAGTAGAAGGGCTGTTTTTTATGGTTGGGCACATTTGGTGATCATATTTCTAAATGCCAGGTTAGGTGAGTTAGCTCACTGGGACAACCAGTCAGTACAATTTTATTTTTTACTGTAGTTCATGGTATTTATTGTGAACCAAGAGGTATAATATAAAGGACTATTCATACTGTTCAGTATTTAAATTAAATCAAAGTTTCAGTTGCTATATTTAATTAGACTCCTCCATAGTAAATTACTTCAGCTAAGTAATTTTGTATACAGTAATAACTCTCCAGCTTAATCTTAGACACGTAACTACACAATACAGTTATTTAATGAAGAAAAAAGTGTGCATCAGCTGTAGAGTAATAGAAAGTATCAAATGCCGAAACAAAAACTAGAGTTAATTATATTATACCTCTATTATATATGATTATAACATTCATTAGTGGTATATATTTTATATATTATATTGGTGACCACTTAAAATAAAGATATTTCATCTTTGCCCTAAGCATAGAAAAATTAACTTTCTTTTATAGCTTTACCCTTTCTTAGACTTAAAATTAAAATAGCAAGTGAGGTTTTCGAGGGAGAATATAGCTTCCTGAAATGATTCTGTTATAATCTTTAAGATGGAATAACCTTTCTCTAACTGGATGCAAATGGAAGTTTCACGTTTCTCACCAGTAGATTTCTGCTTTAAATGGTGTCTTCATGTCCAAAGCAATCAAGTGATTGTTCAAAAAACCAAGTAATTCGCTTTTATTATTAAATTGCTTCGGCACAAGTAAAGGTCACATAGCAGAGTAGCATTCTGCCAGTGTATGACAACCCAGTGATTGCAATTTTTCAACTGTATTATTCTGGGGACACTGTGGTAATCAAAAACTACCCGTAACTAATGTATAAATAGCTATTGGTTATCTTTGTGACAATCTACCTCAAAGAATACATACAGTAAAAGCTTATTCTGTTTTGGAAGAAGTTTACATTTTATGGTGTTGTGTATTAGAAACATGTGTGTGAATAATGTCATTTACAAAATGGAAGTTTTAACATCCCATTGCTAAGGTTTTTTAATATACAAACATGCTAGTTTCTATCTGTCATTTTTACTAAGTAACAGAAGAGTTCTTTGCTTTGCAAAAGCACCCTCTTATGTTTTTAAATAGTTGTTCAGTTCAATCAGTGTTACGTTTAGGAAGTCAGTTTACATTATGTATGTGTGTGTGTATGTATGGTTATGTCTTTAAGTGTGTACACACACTCATATGCACACATATGTCAGTCATTTTAGCATTCCTGATAGGAAATTAGACAGGTGATCCATCTGATAGGCTGACTTGCCACACCTTGCTACAAAAAGTACCTAGAGTTTAAATTAAAGTTTAAATGCACACAGATTTCGGGTTACTACACAGCTAGAGAAAACCTTCGTTCTTCTCTGATTGGATATGGTAGGCATAAATATGGATTTTGTCATTCAAAAGCATTATTTTCTTCAGTGTTCCAAGATCTGTAGACACTTTAAAATCATGACATTTATTTAATTTCTGTGCTCATGTGCTCAAAAATAATTGTTACTCATTCAGTGGGTCATTTCTAACATGTAAAGCAAGGAATATAATCCTTTAAACTGAAAGGAAATAAGAACATTAAATATAAACTGGTTTCAAAATCACACTTCAAGAATTCATAGTTACTAAATTCAGTGGCATATTTCTTTTTCTTAACTGTTGGTTTGTTTCTATAATGAATATTGAAATAAAAAAGACAAATAATTTTGTTATAATAAGCCACAGTGATCCTTTTTTTTCTGGAAAGATAGTGAGATATTAATGATTTGTTAAAATAATGATC